TTGAAAGAGATTTGCACACTATCACCATTGTTTCAAAGTGCAACAAATTGGGAAAGGTAATTGGGAGGGAGGGAGGATGCTGTTGGTGTGCTAAGTGAGTGAGTTGATACCATGTTCCCTAGAGAAATACCCAGAATTGGGGCTACAGGGTAGTATGCTAGGTGTAGATTTGTTGTACGGCTTCTCTTTGTCTTTTCTTGTTAAGACGTGAATCTTGTCTCAGGTCCTCTTTGTTCCACTGATGAAGTTTTTGTCTCAGCACTGAATCAGGTTTGCTGATAGTTCACATAACTGAGCTCTGTCCTTGTATTTGGCCTTTATACATAAACATGGACTCTATTCCTTGGAGAGGTGCCTGTGCAATGTACCCCTCCAGGAAGTCACATGCACTGAGAAACTAGGACACCAGAAACTCCAGAGATTTCCTGAGGGAGAGGGCAGAGAGAGGAGGAACTATTACCAAACTATTGCCAAAGATGTAAAAGGAAAGGATTGGCACAAAAGGAAGCCACAAAGGGAAGAAACAACTTAAGACCTCTCCACTGGTGCTATAAGTTTGCAACAACTATATAGGTCTCTGTAGAAGATGAGACTCCCCATAAGAAGAGATTGCTTGACCCAGTTCTTTTCCCAATTGCAGCTTGGGGAACCTCTAGACCAGAGGGGCACTCTGTGCAAAGTACAAAATAACTGTATAGATTACTGGAGAAGATGAGGCCCACCACAGGAGATATTTTTCTTTACTATGAACTTGGGTACAAGTTCTTCCTACATTTTTTTTTGTAATAAATTTGTTCTGCATTCCATGCCTTGTTACCTTGTGTGCAAAGGAATGGACCTGAGCAGGGTCATGAAGAAAAATAAGGACAATGTAAGTTCCTTGGGAGTGGAGATTATCTCCTTTATGTCCTTGTACATCCAGCACCTTGCACATATTAAGTGTTTAGTAAAAGCCTGCTGAAGTGAACTAAGCTATTAAAACTCACAACATTAGGCAGCTTAGCACAATGCACAGAGCACCTGCCCTATACAGCTGGGAAGACCTACACTCAAATCCTACCTCACTCTCACACTCACTCACTCACTCTCTCTCTGGTATAAGTCTAGCTAAGTCACTAACCTCCCAATGCCCCCAGTCAATTATCTTAAGACTATAAAATATTGACTGAGTGCCAATACCTGCATCAGCTGAGGGAATTTCCTCATAGGGTGTTTTCTATACCAAGGAAATCACAAATCTAGTCTAAAAAATGTAAAAAGACCAAAACTCCAAGAATGAACCTAGTCCATTTGCCCTCAGGGTCAAATGGTCACCTGGGTTTACATAACTATTTTTCATTCAAATTCAACTGACCTAACCCCAGACACTGATCTGCCTCTCTCCACACTGTATGATCTTTAGCATTCAGACTACAAGAGAAATATACTACAGTACGGTGTCCATTTCAAAAGGAATACCATATTATTCCTTTCTTAAAAGTGTTCCTATGATCCAACCATTTTGGAAAGCAATTTGGAACTATGCCCATAGGGCTATAAAAATGTGCGTAGTCTTTGACCCAGCAATAGTGTTGTGGGCTGAGAGGTTGAGAGTTGTGACCCCTCAAAGACTAAAGTACATGGGTCATCTGGGGATGAATTCACAGACTCAAGCATTCTTTAAGCCAAGGTGGCAAAGTTTACTGTTACGCTTTTCAGCAGGCAAGGATTCTTAAAGGATCCTGCAACCTTAGAGAGGTACAGTTAAAGTTTATCTAGGATAAAATACAATAAAACATGTGCCAACTATGCTAACTAGGGGATTCAGGGTGGGATTAGGGAATGGTTAAGGAGTGGTCAGTTCTTAAAAGACCATGCACTTCTTGTACCTACTGCGCAGGCATTTTACCCAGAGTTCACTAGGAACAGCCCAAAAGGGGGACAACATGGAGGTGTGGTTTTAGGCCTGCTACGTCACTAAGTCAACTAGAGTTCAGGGTAACTGAGAGTTGTCCAGTCTGCCACAATCAATGTCTTGTTAGACAAGATAGATATAGGGAGTATACATATGTCTCAAGTCTAGAATAGAGTTAATGAGGAGCCCAGGATGTAGATAATGTGGTAGGGCAGTAGGATAGTATAGCAGTGGGTAAGAATGTCTTTATGACCCAGTGCAAAGCCAGTTTAAACTAATAAATCCTTCAGGTGCTGTTTGGAACTGCAGCAGGGAGAGATTACGGTCTTGCTGGGGCCCACTCACGAGTGAGTAATTGCTAAGCACAGGGTCCTTGGGCTGGGGAGAAACTGTCAGGGACAGTGTTTCTGAGGCTAGGGAGAAATTGGGGTCCAAGTACAAGCACCCAAGTACCCCATCAATAGCATTTCTAGGGCTGTATCCCAGAATGATAAAAACGGAAAAAGGACCTACATGCACAAAGAATATTTATAGCGATTCTTTTTGTGATGGCAAAGAATTAGAAGCTGAGGAGATGCCCATCAACTGGGGAATGGCTGAACAAGGTGTGGTATATGAATGTAATGGAATACTATTATGCTATAAGAAATGATGAACAGGCTAACTTCAGAAAAACCTGGAAAGACTTGTATGGACTGATGCTGAGTGAAATGAGCAAAATCAGGAGAGCATTGTACACAGTGACAGCCATGTTGTTCGATGAATAACTTTGATAGGCTTAAACCTTCTCAGCAATGCAAGGATCTAAGACATCTCCAAAACTCTCATGATGAAAAATACTATCTACATCCAAAGAAAGAACTAGGGAGTTTGAATGCAGATTGAAGCATACTATTTGCTATTTTTTTTCTTGTTTTGTTTTGTTTCCTCTTTCTTGTGGTTCCTCCAATTGGTTCTAATTCTTCCTTACAACAAGACTAATGTACTTTAATAGGAATGTACATGTAGAGCCTATATCAGATTGCACTCCCTCTTGGGGAGGGAGGGGGAGAAAACTCAAAAGTGTACGGAAATGATTGCTGAAAACTAAAAATAAATTTAAAAAATTTTTTTTTGGTTAAGAGTGTTCCCATAAACAAAAGTTAAGAGTCAGATCTTTGGGAGGAATAGAAGATAACTTCTGCTGGGGAAAAGATGTTGACTTCTAATTTCTCATTCTCCTCACTGAGCTAGATTCAGGTTTCATTTTAGGTGGAAGAAAATAACTCAGGGTGGGGCAGAGGCAGAAAAGGAAGGATATCAGGATTCTTAATTTGAAGTCAAATGAACTTAAAAAAAACTTTTTCAAAATAATTGGTTTCCTTTATAACCCTACTTATTTTAATATATTTAAATACATTTTAAGGCATCATGCTGAAAAAGGGTGCATAGGTTTCACCAGACTGCAAAAGGGGTCCATTACACACAAAAAAAGGTTAAAAGCCTCTGATCTAGAAAAAGGCAAAACCAGAATGGCAACATTAACAGATCAACTTTCCAGCCTCTTTACCTTGGTTCTTGGCATTCCTGCCTTCTTTTTGCTCACTTCAAAGCCCAACTCAAATCCACTCCCGAGGCCCCTTGTGACACTATTTCTCCCTCTCTAATGCACTCATGTGTTACATACTATCGTTACCTATTCCTGTTTCATTCTTCTATTAGACAGTAAACCCCACGAGATCTCTGATCGACCTTAGCATTTTCCCTAACTGCTAGCACACAGTTCGACTTACACAGAAGACCCTAAATACGTTGTGGAAATATTTCTCGAAATTCCCCCTCTAGCCTCTCTAACCAGAGGCTAGCTCCACGTGTTTGAGGAATAAAAGATAGCTTTTGTGGGGAAAACTGACCGCCTCCCATCTCAAATTCCGGGCACAGAACGAGATTCAAATTTCACCTTGGAAAGATGAGAGGCAGTGTGGTGTAATGGAAAGGTCTGTGGAAAAACCCAGAAATAAAATGACAGCTTTTTAAAAACTACCGCTTTTAGACAGAGGAACACAAGCGCCGGTTGAACTCAGCAGGGTTCGTGCCTTGCCTGGGGTTACACAAAACAAAAAAAAAATTTTTTTTTTACAACTTCTCTCATAGGAAACCTCAGTAAACACCTGAGGGAGTAACCATGGTGATACTGCGGCTTTCTTTTTTTCTTCCCGTATCAGGGCTTTGTAGTCGCTAATTACCTCCACGTGCTGCGGGGCAGAGAGCCAGACTGAGTCACCCTTACGTCGCTCTCAGAGCCAACATCAAGACTCGCACATGGACGCGCAGGGGAAGCCACCTCCGCGTCCCCGGCGCTGACCCCTTGCCCTCAGGGAGGCGCCTGCGCAGTGGCAGGAAAGGCGCGCGCCAGGGTTACACCTGGAGGTGAAAGCGCGAGAGCTGAAGAAGAACCTCGCTGGCCCGGTGCTGAGGGTCGGGTAACGAAACCCACTCCATCAAGTAACGACAAACCCCACCCCCAAGAAGCGAGCCGGGGCGCCAGAAAGGCGGGGGTTGGGGGTGGAGACGGGAAGGAAAACCAACGGCCATTTTCCTCCCGCTTCGAGAACGAAACGGAAACGCGCAGGCCCCCTCAATCATCAGGACCTCCTAATGCCCCAACCCTTCCACCTTCCGGCGGGTCTCGCGAGACTGCACGCCTAGAAATCTCGAGCCGTCTTCGTCGTGTTTGAGCCTAGGGGTTGCTGGTTTGGTCGAGGGGTGGGTGTGGAGAAGGGGAAGAGAGAAGACAGGGAAAGGCGGCAGGCCTTGATTGACACGACACAGCCGCTAATGGTGTGCAGACTCGAAGGGCTCACCGACCAATTGGCTGGTATGAGCGGGGGCGGAGCTTTGGAGAGGCGGGGAAAGGAGGCGAAGCAGAGGCGGGCAGGAGACCGTGATTGACTCGAGGTCTTGGCCAGTGGTGCGTGAGTTCGAGCGGCCCATCGGCCAATAGGTTGGGACTCTCCGCAAGGGCGGGTGTGAAGGTAGGGAAGCGAGACGCTGGGGGGGTAGGTAGGGCGGCCGTGATTGACATGCAGCAAAGGCCAATGGCCTGTGGGCTCGCGCGGCCCACCTGCCAATGGGCTGGGACGGCCGGACCAGGGAAGGCGGGGCCAGGGGGGTAGATTGATCGCGGCGGCGGCATCGGCGTTGTTCAGTCTGAGCGAGAACGTTCCAGAGGTGGGTCTGAAGTAGCATTGGCTCCAGCCCGCGCGGGTGCCTTACTGTGAAACCGCTGTGGGTCTGGGCTCCCGCAACGACTAGAGGCGGGCGAGTGGGGTAGGTAGGTTGTACTGATGCTTTTTCTCGCAGGGACTGACCCCTATTAATGGCGCCTCTGTCTCTTTCCCTTCAGGTCGCCGGGCTCCCAGGTGCCGAAGGGTGTTGCCTCCCCCCGGACGTCGCTGGGACCGCCCCCCCTTCCCCCCCGCTGGTCGGCGGCGGCACCTGGCTCGGGCCGCTCCTCCCGCTCCGCCTCCTCCTCCTCCTCTTTCCTCCTCCTCTTCCCTTCCACTTCCTCCGCCTCTTGCTGCTGCTCGGACTCTTGTTTATACCGCGCCTCAGACACTTCATCCCAGTCCCGGGCGAGCAGCGTTGGGTTTATGTCTTTATTTGACGAAAACGGTGAGTGGAGGACGGGCGTCGGGGCTTTGGCGGGACGGGGGCGGCGGCGGGAAGCGTGTGAGGAGGCGCCCTGGCCCTGGGGAGATGGCGGCCGCACAAAATGGCGGCTCCACTTCCTCGTGACCTCCCCCCCCCAGTCGCGTGGCGCAGTTTACTTCACGAATCCCCACAAGTTGGGAGAGAAAAGGGGAAGTCCCGGGGTCGGCGGCTACGACCCCCCGCCCCCGAGAAGGGGGCGCACCCGGGCGGGTGTTTGGCGAACTACTGGGGAAGGGGGTGGTGATCCTGAAAGCTCTGCGCATGCGCCACGCCTCCTCAAAAGCTGACTCAGTGCTTAATTGCTGCATTTATGAGTCATCCAGGCCGGCTGGGGGAGGAGACTGCGAGGGGGAGGGGAGAGGAGAGGAGAGCCCGGCGCCGCAGCACTGCCAGGCCTCTGCTGCTGCTCCTCGGCTACTTCTGTCAGCCTGTGGGTGCGGCTGCTAAGGGGGAAAAGGTGTCCCGAGCCCCGGGGCGGATCTCGTCCGTTCCCTAGTTGAACCCTAGGGTATCCCCTGTTGGTGCTCCTTCCCTTGACCTAAAGAGATATTACCATAAGCCTGATGTCCATGGTAGCATTAGGATACAGGTAACACTGAATGTGCAGGCAATTTTTTTTCGAGATAAATGGAAAATACTAGATAGAATTATAAGCTGCTTAGCTGAATTCCGGTTAAAACATTTAGATTGGGTTTTTATGCCCTGTGTAGCAAAATGGGTGACTTGTGACTAGAATGTCTTCATCATCTTTCTGATTTGCATTTGGAACAAGAATTCCTACACAAAATTAACGTAGGTGTTACACTGAGCTTAGATTACACTTTGTACGTTTTATTTCATATAAATCGTTGCATAAATACTTAATATCAAAACATTAGTTTGGACTTGTTTTCTATATTCTGATGAATTGAGGGAGCCAGTTTGGAAAATGCATCAAAGGTCAAATAGCCTGTCAAAAATGGATGTGAAGGAGAGTAGAGGGATTTAAATATCTAAATAGATAAACACACACAAAAAAAAGAATAGGTATAGTTGGGTCTCCCTCAGCTGTGGTTTTAAAAGCAGGGGGGGGGGTTTCTGAGTCTCTTCTCTCTCCTCTCCACCTTAGTGATTCTATGTGTATGGCAATAGATGTGGCTTTTTGAGACTGATAAGATAACTTATAAATATTCATCTATGTGTCACTAAATTTTGTTTATTCTCTCACCCTACCTCTCCCTCTGTTTCAGAGCTGTTGCGCAGCCATTGGTACCTGTATTGGGGAAATATAGCATACAAGCAAGACGCTTACAGCCTCTGTGGCAAAAACTTTTTCATGTCAGAGACCGAGAACTCTTGCAGTCGTTTATGTCATCCCTTCTTCTCCAGACAGAAGATACCAAAAAGTTGCAATCAAAGATCTCTTCATCTTATTGATAAAACTACTGCTAATAAGCCAAAATGTCCGTCAACGTCAACCGAAGCGTTTCAGATCAGTTCTATCGCTACAAAATGCCCCGTCTGATTGCTAAGGTAATGTTTACTGATTTCCCTTTTCAGTTGGTTTGGGAGGACAAAGTGTGGGCAAATCTCAGTAGCTTGGTGTTGTTTATTATCTTTTGTGGGTCAAATGGCTGTTAGTAGTATTTGTGTCCTTTAAATGTGAAGATTAATGGTCTGCTTTTCTAGAATGAAAATGACAGTGTTAAATTTTGCATTTTAGGTTGAGGGCAAAGGAAATGGAATAAAGACAGTTATAGTCAACATGGTTGACGTTGCAAAGGCGCTTAATCGGCCTCCAACGTGTAAGTAATCTTTTGAAGAAATAAGAACACATACAGTGCTGATGATTCTGTTGATATGTTTATAATCTGAAAGCTTGTGTTTTGGGCTGTGGATTGAGTCAATCAAAACATTGGGAACAGAACTAGAAAGCTTTTCACTTTCCTCATGTTCAGTTTGTACTCTTCAGTATATACATATATAAGCAATATGTTTAAAAAACAGCTTCTAATATAGAGCAATGATTGCATATATATGGGTGGATAGCAGTAATGAATGCAGTAAACAGCAGTGAAGCAAGATCTCTTAGTTCATTCACCTTTTTCCCCCCCCCTTAAGATCCCACCAAATATTTTGGTTGTGAGCTGGGAGCACAGACCCAGTTTGATGTTAAGAATGACCGTTACATTGTCAATGGATCTCATGAGGCGAATAAGCTGCAAGACATGTTGGATGGATTCATTAAAAAATTTGTTCTCTGTCCCGAGTGTGAGAATCCTGAAACTGAACTGGTAAGTGAATTGTTTGCATAGATATGTATGTGTTGACATACGAAGTCAATATTATTTAGTCATTGAAGCTAAGTACTAATCTATACATGTAAGTATATTCTTTGGATTGAATGCTATGCTGAATTCATTTAATATTTTCTCTCTGACAGCATGTCAATCCTAAGAAACAAACAATAGGTAACTCTTGCAAAGCCTGTGGCTATCGAGGCATGCTTGATACAAACCATAAACTCTGCACATTCATTCTCAAGAACCCACCTGGTAAGTAGTATCCACTTAGTTTTAAACAGTTGTGTAAAGCAATATAACAGTGGGATTCATATTGGGTTTGTTGCTTTAAAAAGCATAAGATGTGTATGCAGATAACATCAATATTTTTCCTTGAGGGATTAATTCTCCACACAGCTCCTTCTTTGAGCATTCATTGCAAGCAACACTCTGTGGCTGACAAAAAGTTGTCTGACACAATTTTGACTTGCGAAAAATAAGTAAGTCTAACCTATTCCAGTGGTCTCTCTTAAATGAGACTATCTGTTATATAGACTTAAACAGTATGAGTACTCAGGACTAAAATACTTTATTAAAACTTGATTTAGTAAACACTTAGGACACAGGAAACAAAACTGACCTAGAAGGTCCTATTTCTGGCAACTAGGTAGGCTTGAGAGGGTGAATAATAATGGAAATTGTGAGATTCAATTTTGTCTTCTTCACCTTTCTTCCTCAGAGAATAGTGACAGTGTTACGGGAAAAAAAGAAAAAGAAAAGAAAAATAGAAAGGGCAAAGACAAAGAAAATGGTTCTGTGTCCAGCAATGAGACAACACCACCACCACCACCCCCCAATGAACTTAACCCTCCACATGCTGTGGTGAGTGTGGGAAGTACAGTCTTGTTAGTTCTTTTTATTTGAACTATGCACCTTACAGGTATGAGGGGATCTGAGTTTGATGTGGGCAGTGATCCCTAAACAGGCAATAAAAGAGCATATAGAATATAACAGTGTATGAATCTATTGGCTTCAATTAGGGTAAAAATAAATTTATTTGGAAGAAACACCAGGCAAAGAGGTAGCTTTTGCTTTTGTTAAGGATTCAAAAATGTGTTTTTCACAGGGAAAGACCCACTAATTCAAGCTATTTTCCAGATGTAACTGTAAGTTAACTTGGGCTTTTGCTTTTATATACAGGAAGATGATGAGGATGAAGATTGGGGAGAGGACACAACCGAAGAAGCTCAAAGGCGCAGAATGGATGAAATTAGTGATCATGCAAAAGTTCTGACACTTAGTGATGACTTAGAAAGGACAGTTGAAGAAAGAGTCAATATTTTGTTCGACTTTGTGAAGGTAAAGTGTGTGCATATTTTAATACCTTTCAGGAGCTTTCTTGAATTCGTTTACATTCAGCAGTTCATTCAGGGCATGCAGTTCTAGATAAGTGGTAAATCGGATTTCATTCTTAGACTACCAGAAGAATGAGGTATAGAATGTACGAAACACAAATTTTCCATTTGGCTTGTTGTAATACAAAACGTCTTTTACTTGCCCTTTTTTCCTTCGGTTACTTGTGAACGGGCAGCAAAATGTATCTTTGAACTCTTCTCTCCTTCCTGCAGAAAAAGAAAGAGGAAGGTATCATTGATACTTCTGACAAAGAAATTGTTGCAGAAGCAGAAAGACTGGATGTAAAAGCTATGGGCCCTCTCGTTTTGACTGAGGTTCTTTTTAATGAGAAGATTCGAGAACAAATTAAGAAGTATAGACGTCATTTTCTACGAGTAAGCAGCTGCTTTTTATGGCTTCACTTGAGGGAATGGCCAACATCTCATTTAAAGTAAAAGGGTTTGGGGGTTTTTGTTTTTTAACTATATAATATGTGAAAAGGCTAGTAATGTAGGCTTTCTCTTTGGAGGGTAGTAACAAGTATCTGTGGACTTAATAGATTGTACGTGTTTATTACCTGTAGTTGATTTCAAGAATAAGAGTTTGCTGTTCAGATTATTTGGACGCTTTCTAATGCTACGTTATGTTTTTCCAGTTCTGTCACAATAACAAAAAAGCTCAGAGATACCTTCTTCATGGTTTGGAGTGTGTGGTAGCTATGCATCAAGCTCAGCTCATCTCCAAAATTCCGCATATCTTGAAGGAAATGTATGATGCAGACCTTTTGGAAGAAGAGGTCATCATTAGCTGGTCAGAAAAGGTAAGATGTTTCTTTTGTGTTTGGGTTATTTGTTGTTTGTGCTTAAAACTTCCTACAGTTTTTAGAGTGTTAAGATTTCTCAAATGCACCTAAAGTAATAATGAATTTGCTCAGGCCTCTAAGAAATACGTCTCAAAGGAACTTGCCAAAGAGATTCGTGTCAAAGCGGAGCCCTTTATAAAATGGCTAAAGGAAGCAGAAGAAGAATCTTCTGGTGGAGAAGAGGAAGATGAAGATGAAAATATTGAGGTATCTTGCTTGTAGGATACAAATTCAGGGGTGTGTGGGGTGTGTTTATAAAAGGATTTTATAGAAATACTTCCTTGTTGAAAGCATCCTATTAACGAGAGGCACTCGGGAGCTAAAGCTTTTCTTCCCGCTCCATCTCTAATGTCACTCTTAAGATTCTAAGGTAGTTAATGGAATATGATGTGATACAATTAATGTGTGATTGCTCGGGATAGTTTTATACCAGTGAATGCCTTTAGAGTTCTCTGTGAGTCAGACAAAATTATTTCTTTGTTCTTGTATGATTCGATTTTATGAAAGAATAAGTAGCCTCTGATTTCTACAGCATAATGTTTAATGTGTGGTGACCGGGTTGTTTGTGTCATTTCCTCCTAAATTAAACTGCCCTTGTTTCCTAGGTGGTGTATTCTAAGACTGCCAGCGTACCTAAAGTTGAAACTGTGAAGTCTGCTGATAACAAGGATGATGACATTGATATTGATGCCATTTAAAACAGTGCAACCGAGCTTACAGTGTAATGCTTCGAATTTCTCTGCATTTTCAGCCAGAAGTGCAACATGTATGTGCAGAAGCTAAAATGGCTTAACATCATGCTACACTTTGTACTCAAAATGTCTTTTTACTGTGAGTGGTCTTCTGTATGTAACTAAGCCCAGTGAGACATCTAGGGAGTCCATATACATCAGTGCCCAGGTTTAGTTTGCTTATTTATAGCATGTTAATTTGGGGAAAAAACTAGTGATGGACACATTTGAATTACGTTTATTTAGCTGTAAAAATAAAAATTTGTTTTTGGTCATTCTTCAGTTTGTTACTTTGAATGACTTGAGCCTAAAATGACACTGACTTCAGTGTCTCAGCCAGCTTAAGAGGGAGGAAGGGAAAAGGTTTCTGTGATCTTGAGAGCTTAATTAGATTTGATATTTCTTGGAAGGCTTCATCTAGTGGAAAAGTTGATACTTTGATATTAATCTTGGTTAGCAATATGTGCAGAAAGTAAAATTCCTCTCTTTCTAACCCTTCAAATTTGGCATCTGAAATTGTTCCTTAGAATAGCAAATGCCACCGTAAAAATGATGGGATAACACCTTGTTTCACTGAAAGTTGTGAGGATATAAGTGTAAACAAAAGTTGAAAGGTTTTTTTTCTTAACTTGAACTGTGCAAATTTATGTATGTTTGCTCCATAGTGTCATTGAGTTTTAGTGCAATGTACATGTGGGCTAAGCTGAGAATCCTTCCATATTAATAGAAATGGAGTATTTTCTGTATGTGTAGCAATTCTGCTGAGTGAAATTTCAAACTTTTTGGATGTGATTAAATAGGTTGACCTATAACAGCCAAATCGATTTATTTTAGGGAAAACAGGGAGAAGATGTGCACTCATATAAAACAGTGAACATCGCTGAGAATTTTTCAGCCTTGACCTTGATAGTCTAGATCCCAACTTCAAAATGTTTGGGCATTTATTATACCTTTTCAGTGTGCTACTTGCCCTGATGTTTTGGTTTGATATCTTTCATGCCTTTTTACATTGATATAGCTTGTGCTGTTTGGAACTTGGGCACTATCTTGCCAAAATTTTTAAGAAGTGTTAATATGTCTAACTTGATTTTTCTAAACATTCTTATTTAAAAAGACTGAAATAAAGCTAAAAGCGTACTTTATAAGTCAGAACCTGTAATGCAGAGTGTGACTTGGTATATTTTTTATTTTACAGTGACAATAGCCTGATACTCACAGAATTGTTTGTGATGAGTGTTAAGGGTTCTGCAGGTGGGGGTGGTCCCAGCCCAGATTTTCACAAGAGTTTGACTCTGTAGTTTCCAGATTTAAAACTTCTGGCCCAGACTTTGAAATAGTTCAAAACAACCATCTTTGTAAAGGGATTTTCAATCTTGAAAACATAAGAGAATACTGGAAATTGAGAATTCATTGCTAAAAGGTAGAATCTTTCTAGGCTTTTTCTTTGGATTGGGAAAAAATCCAACTGACTGACCTCACAGATGTAAAATAAACTAGTATCCAAAATTATTGTGAAAGCCAGAATTTCTTTGTCAGAAAACCTTTGAAATTGAAATGCACAGGCTGTGAGACAGGATTGTGACATAGGGAATCACTTAAAACAACAAGCTTACAAAGGTTCTTTAAATCTTTTAAAAGTATAAAGAAAAACATTTCAGTTTTTGAAACACTAAGTAACGGGAAATCTTGTACACTGGACCAATGTGAAATCTGAAGGGATCAAAATGTAACTAAATTTGAAGCTTCAAGAAAATAAAATATTCACAAAGGTTATCCTAAAGAGCAGTTGTATGCTTCGCTCTCTACCGCTGTCTTTAAACTTTTCCTGTTTTCTTCTATTCTACATTACTTGATTATTAAAAGATTAATATTGAGCCTTTTGCATTTTTTGTGGGACCTTAGCTTTTTTTTTCTTTTTGGTAAGACACAATAGTAATTACAACTTTTTTGGAAATGTCTTTGTTGTGTGTTGTCTTGGGGACCTTGTCCATCTTATTCTGCCAGGTTTAAACGTGAAAGAAATGAACCAACCGTTGTTCCATTGAGGCAAGCGTCAAGATAGACTTCTTACAGTCTTATATTTGAAGTGAATTAATACATATATGCAGAAAGAAGGGTTGGTCCTTAAATTAATACTTTTGCTAAGCTAGGTAAGGTTTTTCCTTGTGCATACTCCATTCTCAAACCCCTAGAAAGCTGAGGGACTTATTTTCTTTTGGCTTCTTAGGCTTTCAGTTACTCATGGTGGCTTAAAATCTATCTTGAGCCTTCTAAATGTTTGGCTTTCCTGTTAGACTAGCTCAACCAGTTGGTGAAGAATGTAAGTTGATTTTTCAATTTGCATGAAAGGAAAATAAAGCTAAAAAGATGTGTGCAATAGTTAATTAAAAACCTATGTTGATTTAGTGTGTGATCAACCTAAGTTTACATTTGTTAGATGTGGGACTGAGGATGCAGATAAGTATTTAGTAATTTATCATAGAATTTTAGAAGGTGGAAGATATCTGGTCCTCTTAATTTAGGGTCATTAATCTGTACTTAGGTACTCTGGGCCACATATTGACTAATTTATTTTTTATTACTTATATTTTTTGTTTTGCTAAATATTTCAGAATTATATTTTATTCTGTTCAGGCAGCACACTCAAGTGTTACAATCCTAACTGCATGTTTGACACCTGCCCTGCTTGAGCCATTGAAGCTAAAGTTCTTTTACCTTTCTCCATAGCACTTAAAAACAATTGTTTATCCAGGCTTATAACATTTTTAGAAAAGTAGCAATCCATATTTCTCTGACCACTGAAATCTAGTCAGTTCAAATAATAGCTTAACAATCTTATACTGAAGTGTTCTAAGTGTTTAAAAGATTGCGATCAACCACCTGATCAGTTTATTTTTGAAATCTGAAACAAAGTAAATTTCTGGAGAGGTTTGCAATAGAGTGAAATTAGACAAGATGGTGTTGGAGGACAGCTGGGTTTGAAGTGTTAATTTTACCTTACACTACTAGTGGTAAGTAATTTATGTACAGTAATTTAGAGTGGTATGAGTCATCACCCCAAGTTCAAATCTGATCTTAAATACTTAGGAGCAGTGTGACTTTGGGCAAATCACTTAACCCTGTTTACCTAGTCCCTCATCTATAAAATGAGCTGGAAAAGAAAATGGCAAACCATTCCAATCTTTTCCCAAATAGAGTTAATAGCTGCTGAGCCTCATTAATTTGGGTTTCAAATGTATTTAATTTGTGTCCTAAGCAGAAGGATTTGATTGAAATATACTCCTTGTGAGCTCCATTTATAAAATGGGTATTAGTAGTGGGATTACATTTTTTGAATGGTTTTTGCTTTTGGTCTGAAGGGGTGGTTTAAGTACAGAAGTAGGAGAGAGATGTTTTTTAAATATTAGCTTGTTTAAACATATGGGAGTCTTGTCGGGCAATCTTAGAGTAGAGTACCACATCACTCTCCTACTCAAAACCCTTAGTTCCCTTTTGCAGTAAAGTAAAAAACTAATTTTTTAAAAACATTCAAAGTGTTCTATACTCTGACTCAACTTAATTTCTTGTCTTTTAACTTCTATTCATTTAAAAGCCCTGTGTTCTAGTCCGAATAACTTTACCTTTCTTCGGTCTACAACCTTATAGTCAGTCTCCCTAGGCCTATGATAATCTCTACCCAAGTAACCTGTTGAAGTAAGACCAATTAAGTACCTTACTCAAAAACCTATTTTACTCTGTGCTCCATGATGCTTAACCCACAAGCTTGAAATGACCCAACCTTTAAATTCTCCTTCCTTAGGGGCCCCACTGTTTGTTTTGTACTTAGCAATATATTATCTCTATAAGACTAAGTTCTGTGAGGCAAGGACTTCATTGTTCTTTGAATCCCCAGTGCTTTGAATATTGTCAACAGGTGGAGAACCTTGGATTTGATGTTGAAACCTGGGTCCAAGATCTGCGTACTTGTGACCTTGGACAGATGACCTTATGAGATCTGCTTCCCTCTCCAAACAAGTGTTTTGAGAGTGAGATATAATATACATAGAGCCTAATTCTTCAAATCCCCCCTCAGAATAGCTATAGATGCAAAAAGCAAGTATATCACAAGAAGCTTCTAAACTACAGTGTGAAAAGGAGACTAGAGGGAGGTAGCAACTGTTGATGAGGTGAGAGTTCATGGTGGAGCAAAATCGGACCATTGCAGTGGAGGGCAGCTAATTGGTCAGACTATGATGGGGGTAGAGGATATGACAGTAACCATAAATAGAAGGGAAATTGCAAAAGCCTAATTTAGATGATTTTAAATGGGTTAAAGTTTTTGTACAGAGGAGCTAAAATAAGCCAATGAGTAGGGAGATTAGTGAAGCAGGTGCAAGTGATGTCCAAAATACACAAAAGAATTTACATGTAGAAGACTGAAGTCATTTCCTGATGGTTTATTAAAAGTTTGCCACGTTCTTGACACTGCTATGCTCTGGGAATACAAGAAGATGACACTGCTCAACAGCATATGTTTTCTTGGGGGAAATGTACATCAGGAATAAATACATAGTTTAGAGAGAGGGCTACTTGGAATTGAGTTTAGGAAAGGCCACAAGCCTTTCCTAAACAGACAGTGCTTGAGCCATCTTAAAAAGAAAGGAATTCTCTGAGGCAGGTAAGTATATTGCAGGTATGAGGAGATAGCCAATGCAAAGAGGCATGGAGACAGGAGATGGGGTTTTGAAATAAGAAACAGCCAGGGTTAAGTTTGGGTATATCATTCAATAGGAATGGGAGGAGGAGTAATGTGTAAGGAGGTTGGAAAGGTATTTTGGGACTGGGTTGTGAAAGGTTTTAAAAAGAGTAGTTTTTAGATACTTTTTACAGAAGACAATAGGAATTAACAGATCTGTGCTTGTGGCATACCACAACTGAGAGGATGGATGAGTCAGGAAAAATATTAAGTAGAGAGGACAATAGTTACTGCACTAACCCAAGAGAGAGGTCAGGAGGATTTGAATCAAGTTGCTGGAGTATGGTTAGAAGGCAGCAGAAATGAGAACTGTTGGGGAAATAAAAATGGGGAGATTTGGTAACTAACTTAGTTGGATGTGATGTGAAGGACGTTAGGATAACATTTAGATTGCCAACCCACGACTTGGGTTTAAATTCTGTCTCAGACACATTAAGTGCCTGTTACGTGCCATGCACTGTGCTAAGTACTGAGGTTTAAAAAAATCAGTGACAATCCCTGCCCTTGAGGAACAATCTAATGGAGGAAACAACATGGAAACATTGAAAACAAGCTGATACAGGATAAAAAGAAAAAACCTAGCAGAGAGAAGGCACTGGAATTAAGGGTTGAGAAAGGCTTACTGTAGAAGGTAGGACTTTAGTTGAGACTTAAGGAAGCCAGGGAGGGTCAGTAGTTGGAGTGGAGGAAGGAGAACGTTTTAGGCATGGGAGACCACCAGAGAAAATGCCCAGAACTGAGAGGGAGTTGATTTGTTTGTGGCCAGGAGGCCAGTGTCACTAGATCAAAGAGTATGTGTTGGGATATAAGGTGTAAGAAGTCTGGAAGGCTAGAAGGGGGCTAGGTTTTGAAAGACTTTAAATACAGAAACAGCGTGTTGTATTTGATCACAGAGGTAATAGGAGACCACTGAAGTTTTTTGAGTAAAGAGGTGACATGTTTGTGCTTAAGGAACATTACTTTAGTAGCCAAATGAGGAGGATGGATTGGAGTGAGGACAGACGAGATAGGCAGAGCCACCAGGAGTCTATTTCGGCAAGCAAAGTGTGGGGTGATGAGGACCTGCATTAGAGTGATGGCAGTATTAGAGGAGAGAAGGGAACATATGGGAGAGATGTTGCAAAGGTGAAATTGACAGGCCTTGGCAATAGTTTGGATATGGGGAAGGTTGTGGGAGTTGATTTGTAGGTTTTGAGCCTGAGAGACTGGGAGAATGGTGTTGCCCTCTACAACAACAGAGAAGGTAGAAGATGGGGGAGGGATTGGGGGAAAGAAAATGAATTCATTTTTGGACATAACTGAGTTTAAGATTTCTATTGGACATTGAAATCTAAATGTAAAGTGGTTGAAGATGTGACATTGGGGTTCAACAAGAAAGGTATATTTGAGAATTATCAGTAAAGAAATGGCAATTAAATCAATGGGAGCTTATGACATCACTGCTTTAACTAGGTTATAGGGAGAAGAGAATAGGGCACACAACAAAACTTTGAAGTTAAAGAGTATGATCCAGGGGCAGCTCTGCAGGTGGTGCAGTGGATAGAGCACCAGCCCTGGATTCAGGAGGATCTGAGTTCAAATCCAGCCTCAGACGCATAACAGTAGCCGTGTGAACCTGGGCAAGTCACTTAACCCCCATTGCCCAACCAAAAAAAAAAAACCCAAGTGTGATCCAGAAGATCCAGCGAAGGAAACTGAGAAGTGGTCAGATGTTCATCCTTCATTTTGAAGACAAGTAATTACATCACAGTTTAGGTGAGACAGAGTTGCACAAAGTCCTCAGCCTCACTGTTCTAGAGTCATCAAAGTCCAGTGGCAGGGCAAAAGTTGGGACGACCAGCAATGGTCCGGGATGCAGTGGATGACTTTGGCAACTTCAGTGCCAAAGCTCTGAGCACTCCACAGGGCCTGTTTCAGCTGCATTCATGGTTGTTAGAACAAATTGTTCTCATCTGTTCCTTTCCCCCGGGGAAGTCTTCACATGCTTGGGGTAGACATCCTCCTAATTCACTGAGGCTTCAAAATAGTGTGACCTCCTTCCCCTTTTCCTCTCTTCTGGCACTATCACTTGCAGAAGTGGAGAGCAATGCATGGGACTGCACCATTTTGGGATTTTCATTTGTTTCACATGCTGACATG